TATTTAAAGGAGATTTTTAACATAATATTTATTTAATATACTTAATCTATATGAAATTAAACAATCTAAATATAAAATATAATGAACTTCCGACATATTAATTACAATAGGTATCAAAGAGGTTCTCAAATTTCCATCAACATCGAAGTCTTCGCATTTAATACATAGTACGTTCTCACTCAGGCGGGTAATATTTAAAATTCCTTCTGCTAATGGTATTGTGTCACTTGAAATCACCTCCTTGTTGATGTAAAATTGTTTGAATATATAAATTAAATGATCCCAATCTTCATGGTGAAGGCAAATTTTGTTTAACTCATCATTACGCGATTTAAAAATTAACTCTACACAAGGTATAAAGCCTCGAACAACACTAATACCAACTTTAATGTTAAATTCACCTACAGAAAATACACTTTCATCAATAAGTTTAATTTCTTTCTTGAGATCCTCTTTGAATTTTACCCACAGTTTGTCAATTAATCTCCAAAAATCTAAACTTACACCGTTGACACTCATGTTTCAGAGGATGTTTGATACTAATTAACATGTACCCTATATCTAATATTAAATAGGAATGGGGGATTTAGATTTTAAAATTAGGGGGGGGGAGGTGTGTTTTATAATTACGTGTTGGGGGGAATGTTTAAAACTGAAAGGGAATTTGTATGAAAATATAAAAGCATTAATATCTAAGTTGATTCAAATGATTTTTAATATCTAAGTTAATTCTAATGATTTTTAATATGTTTGTTGATTCTAATGATTTTTAATATCTAGGTTGATTCTAATGATTTTTAATATGTGAGTTGATTGTAATGATTTTTAATATCTAAGTTCATTCTAATGATTTTTAATATGTAAATTGACTCTAATGATTATTAATATGTATATATGTTGATTCTAATGATTTTTAGTATCTAAGTGGATTCTAATGCTGCTAATAGCTCTGCCAGGGGTCGTTATTCAATTGGAAAAGGAATTGTCGATATGGTTTTAGACAGGGTTCGTAAATTGGCTGATCATTGTTCCAGTCTTTAAGGTTTCTTAATTTTCCATTCATTTGGAGGTGGAACTGGTTCTAAATCCACATCCCTGCTCATGGAACGTGTGTCTGTTGATTATGGAAACAAATCAAGGCTGGAATTTACGATCTACCCAGCTCCACAGGTTTCCACAGCAGTCGTTGAGCCATACAATTCCATTTTAACCACCCATACCACTTTAGAACACTCCGATTGTGCTTTTATGGTCGATAATGAAGCCATCTATGACGCCTGCAGACGTAATTTGGATATCGAACGCCCTTCAGACACCAACTTGAATCGTTTGACCTCCCAAATCGTTTCTTCCATCACGCCTCTTTACGTTTCGATGGTGCTCTCAATGTCGACNTTAGAGTTTAATAACTATAAATTCACTCAGATGGTCCCCTTTGTCATATACGCCGACTTTGAATCGATTTTAAAACCGATCGATCATTGTGAGCCACATTCTTCCAAGTCTTTCACGGAAAAAATTGAGATGCATCAACCGTATAGTTTCGCGTACTATATCGTTTCCACCATTGATTCCAAGTTCAATAAGTTTGAATCGTATACAGGTCCTGATGCACCTCAAGTTTTTATCTCTAAATTAATTGCCGATGTCAAATTTATTTATAATAAATACTTTAAAACCGTAAAACCAATGCTACCTTTAACGAGCGATGAGCAACGGAATTTCGATTCAGCTAAAAATTGTTTTATTTGCCAAAATCCTATCACTTCAGATCAGGTTAAGGTTCACGATTATTGTCACATAAGCGGCAGGTACCGTGGGCCCGCTCATAGAAATTGTAATTTAAATTTTCAACTTCAAAATTTTATTCCAATATTTTTTCATAATTTTAGTGGTTACGATTGCCATTTATTTATTAAAGAAAGTGACCGAAGTGACCACTTCGAACCAGTTTCTGAAGAAGGTTGCAACATGGCATCCGAAACGTCAAACCTTTTATTAAAAGACGCACGGCAAAACCCGAAAGTTTCTAGTGTTAGTTCTAGTTTTAGTTCTAATCTTAGTTTAAAAATACATCAGTTTCAGTAAACGGATACTAGTCGATAAAGGGGAAGTGGAGGGGGGCCGCATTGAAAATACTTTTTTTAAACTAAGATTTGTAGATTCATTTAGGTTTATGGCCTCATCATTAGATTCCTTAGCTGGTAACCTTGACGAATTTGATTTAATAAATATACGTAAATTCTTTCCACACAATGATCAGTTTAGATTACTGAGCAAGAAAGGAATATTCCCCTACGGTTATATGGATTCACTCGATAAATTAAACGTAACTTCATTGCCACCAAAAAACGCTTTTTTCAACAAACTATCATTTGAGGATATAACCGATGAGCAGTATTCCCATGCTCAAACTGTGTGGGAAAAATTTAATTGCCAAAATTTAAAAGATTATTCGGATTTGTATCTAAAAACTGATGTTCTTTTACTTGCTGATGTATTTGAAAAATTCAGACAAGTTTGCTTCAAAACCTACGATTTAGATCCCGCTCATTATTATACTGCCCCAGGACTTTCTTGGGATGCAATGTTGAAATTCACCAAAATTAAATTAGAATTATTGACGGATATAGATCAAGTCCATTTTATTAAGAAAGGTATCCGCGGAGGCATTTCCCAATGCTCCCTATGGTCCGCTAAAGCCAATAATAAATATATGGATGATTATAACCCCAATTTACCATCAAACTTCTTAATGTATTGGGACGCTAATAATTTGTATGGGTGGGCGATGTCCCAATTTATGCCCGTTTCCAATTTTAAATGGTTACCTGAAAATGACATACAAAATTTGGATTTTAATAATATACCTGATAATTCTGATTTTGGATATATTTTAGACGTAGATATTGAATACCCTGAAGCTTTCCACGATTTACACAACGATCTCCCGTTTTTAACTGAGAATTTAATTGCCCCCAATAATCGATGTGAAAGTGAAAGGAGATTAATTCCGAATTTATTTAATAAGAAAAATTATGTGATCCATTATAGAAACTTAAAACAAGCCATTGCTCACGGTCTTAAAGTTCGCAAAATTAATAGAGTTTTATCGTTCAGACAGTCTGCGTGGTTGAAATCTTACATGGATAAAAATACGGAATTACGTCAATCCGCAAAGAATGCGTTTGAAAAAGATTTTTTTAAGTTGATGAATAATTCCGTATTCGGCAAGACAATGGAAAACGTCGATAAGCGAGTCGATGTAAGATTAGTGACCAGTTGGGATGATGTGCATACTGGTAAAGTGGTAGGTAGACCCCGTTTAGGAGCTCGGAGTTTAATAGCAAAATTAAATTTTAAAACTATTAAAGTATTCACGGAAACGTTTTCAGCAATTCAAATGGATCGTCTTCATGTCGTTTACGATAAACCTCTATACGTTGGTTTTACGGTTTTACAACTTTCAAAATTATTAATGTATGATTTTTATTATGATTTCTTAAAACCTAAATATGGCGAGGACGTTCTGATGATATATATAGAGATGTGAAATTAAATATAAATAAATTTGACACATCTAACTACAGTCCCGATAATCGGTTTGACATCCCCTTGCACAATAAAGCAGTTTTAGGCAAAATGAAAGATGAGAATTGTGGAAACATAATGGTCGAATTTGTTAGTTTGAGGTCGAAGGTATACGCCAATAGGGTTGCTGATGGGCGGATTACCAAAAAATCCAAAGGCGTTAAGAAGACCGTTGTTAAACATCACATCTCTTTTCAAAATTATTTAGATTGTTTAAATTCCAAATCGGTTTTATTTAAAAAACAAACATTATTTAGAAGTTTTAATCACAACATATTTACCGTATTACAAAATAAATTGGTTCTTTCACCAAATGACTCCAAGCGATATATTTGTGATAATGGGATTAATACATTAGCTTGGGGTCATTATAGTATAACGTGTTAAGTAATGTTAATATAATTTTAAGTATATAATTATTACGTTTGATAGTTTTATTGTACAATTTTAATTACTCTATATAATGTAACTATTTTATATAACTTTTTAAAGAAATAAAAAAACCTTTTCTTTAGTTTACCTACATTTTATTTTTTTTTAAATCGCAAAGTTAATTTATATGTGTATTTATATGTTAATAAAATATAATAGTTTTTTGGAACTATTCATTGCACACGCGTACTTAGAAAAAAATTAATAAAAATTATTATCTCGAATTTGATTTGAATACGTCTCTGGTAACCTACTTGACTTTGAGAACGCATCCTCAGCACATTTCTGATGACTTTGTATTTACCGTGAAACCCCACCGCGCCTCACATTCAACGTTTTTCTCGATGGTATATAAACGGTTAAAATTTTTATACGGAACTCAGTTCTTCCTCTACTACTACTCGCATCGCTCGCTCACGTTATAAAAGCTATTAGTATGTCACGGTTAAGCCAATTAGGTCAGTATCAATTTTCCCCGAAGAACATATCCGAATTAGAGGTGGATAAATTGTATACGATTAAGTCTGCGAAGCGGATTACATCATGCGCATGACCATCAGTTGTCGTTGATTTGGAGGATGAATTCACCGTATTTTTACCGAAACGTATCGCGGAGGTGATTACAGATGGCGAAATTACTGAACTAGGAGGAGGAGGTATGAGCTTAATATTCAAAGGATCAAAAGACGTTGGAAAAGGGAATCCAGCGCATCTCATCGGCTTCGTAAAAACGTTAGAAAGTAAATAAATGTAAACGTTCTTATCGACTTTGTAAAATGTTAATAATAAAATGAGTGTTTTTTTTTGCCTGATGAGCGATAGATGGCGCCCGATGGACGTCATCTATCGCTCATCAGGTAACGCCCCCTCACCTAACTGTCCACCGCTAGGTGACGACACACGAACTGCCGCCGCCAGGTAGCGTTTCCCCACGCTAGGTGGCGCAATAAAAAAGTTACCGTTAAGCTGCGCGCCATCTATCGCTCATCCACACCCCCCTTTCACCACCAGATGGCGTCACATAAAAAAGTTACCGTTGCCACCGTCGACCGATCCTTAAGGATGCCTAGGTGGCGCCACCGTCGACCGATCCTTCGATCCTTAAGGATGATCCTTAAGGATGTAAATTTCAAATTTCCCGCGGATCCTTCGATCCTTAAGGATCGTTTCCGGAGGCGCCACCGTCGACCGATCCTTAAGGATGGCTAGGTGGCGCCACCGTCGACCGATCCTTCGATCCTTAAGGATGATCCTTAAGCAAATTTCAAATTTCCCGCGCTATGACGTCACTTCCTGCGCGCATGCGCAGGACCATCGGGATTCAGGATTCACTTCCGGTCCAGAACCGGCATTAATACTCTACTGACGATGAAGAATTGTTAGAAATGGCAAAAGAAATGTCAATAGCTATCATAGGGGAAGACAAATCACCAATACCTTCCACAAGCAAAGAAACTCGCTTGGGTTTATTAATTGGAACGAAACGGATAGGCAAGAACTTCGAGCCACCAATTAATTCTGAGGATAGTGAGAGTGAAATTTCGAGTACTATTCACTCAACCGACACCGTAGAGCCAAGAAAAACTATTAAGACTCAGGATACTATTCTAGACAATAAAAGGAATCAATTTATTCTGATGCAAGGACTGAACACTGAATTGGAAGTACATCTCAAGAGAGAAGATGAAAGAACTATTTATACTATAAAGATACCCAGAATTGCCCGTCAGGAGGCAATAAATCAATTATTTGTAGAATACATGACTGCTGATAGTACATCACACATTTACGTAGCAGAAGAGGAACTTTACCAAGAACTCTGCGTAAGATATTCCCAGTGAATGAATGACAAGGGGCTACGAATAGTTCGCTGTTTAAGAAGAGCTAGAGTTATAAAAGAAGTGGATAAACAGTTGCAACTAATCGCCGATTATCACAACGGGGTAACTAATCATCGAGGAGTGGAGGAAACGCTAAAATACTTGCAGAAAGATTATTGGTAGAAAAAGAGCCATCTCACGATACGTCAAGGATTGTGACATATGGAGCAGGAATAAAGATAATAGAATACCAGAATCACCGCCGCTACCTATAACGGAAACACCGGATGCACCTTTCAGAAAAATATTCATAGACGCTTTCTCAGTCGGCCACCAGAAGTACCTTACTCTAGTTGATGCATTTTCAAGGCTGGGCCACGCTATGGAAATAAATAGTAAAAAGCCATCAGACATCTTGGATGCTCTAATCACATACTTCTCATATTACGGTGTTCCTGAGGAGATCTGTAGTGACACAGGTATATAATAATAATAATAAATGACTTTATTCGTTCACTTACACCTATATACATTATACAAATTATATTTTATGCATATAAAAAGATGAACGAAAAGGCGAAGTTCAGTATAATACTGATTTTCAACTTAACCTTAAGAGAGCGAGAAAAAAAAACAGATACGTAATATAATAACGAAAATAATACCAAAAAATAATAATAATACAACCAAAACATAATAATATAAAACAATAATTCAAAAGAAAAAGAAACAGCAAATAATACTGCCATCTGTAGTGAGAACCTTGCACACCCTCTAATGTTTAAACTCAGCGATGTCACGGCGACGGCTGCTATATTATCGTAAATCAAATTATGTACTAAATAAATGAACAAATAATTTATTTTTGAATGACCTTATTGTATTACAACTTCTGATATCTATCGGGAGACTGTTAATAACTGTTGTAATCTGATACGTAAACGAATTTTTAAAAAATTCAAGCGAGTGTAGAGGAGGAGTTAGTGTACCTTTAAAACGGACATTTATTGTGTGTACGTCTGATCGAAATACTATTTTTCTATATAGATACGGTGGCTTTTCAGTTTTTAGTATTGTAAAATATAAACACGCCGAATGCAGAGCTCGTCGCTGCGTCATATTTAACCAATTTACCTCCCGCAACTTATGACTTATATGTTGGCGACGCCGAACACCAAAAATCAGCCTCAAACAAGAATTTTGCACTCGTTGTATTCTTTGAGCTGTAAGCGCTGTAATAAAGGGAGAATACACGACATCGCAGAAGTTGAAATGGGAAAGAACCAAAGCATTACAAAGCATAGTTTTAATTTTTTTGTTTAAAAACTTTCTGTTGCTATATATTGACCGCAAATTAGCGTAAGCTCTCTGAGTACATTTATTTATATGATCAATAAATCTCAGCTTTTCGTCAATAATCAGGCCCAAAGTCTTTGCCGACGCTGCAAAGGGTACCCTCACGTCACCAACACAAACATCAAGGCTAGACTTAATTGAATCACGATATTTCTGAGTTGAGAATAAAACCAGTTCAGTTTTCATGGAGTTAATTTTAAGGCCATGCCTGCGAGAGATCTCAACAACATTCTGCAAGTCATCATTAATGTGTTGATTAGCTAACGCAAATATAATATGTTCAGCCATATTGTTCAGCCAATTGTAGGTTTTAAGTATGGACGACACTTCTGCATAACATTGTCATGTTTTGTTGAATCACCACTTTCGACCTCATAATGTGTACATAGTAGGAAAAAACGCTTTAGTTTATGGTGATCAAGAATCAACAAGAAATTAGTAATTGACTAAAGACGGTTAATAAATAAAATAACTTGCGTTTATTGATTACAGCCTTTTGTTAGCGGACATCGTCAGGAAAACTCAGATTGTAGATTTGTGTAGAAAAGACAAATATTAAATAAACACAGTAATTATAAATTTTAAAGGATACATTTAAGTTTTTGCTTTTAATTAACGTTTCTTTTCACGTACACCCAGTTCTGATGTTCACGATTTTTTTTTATGTAACACTACTCTGACAAAAAAGGCTTCAATTTTCAATACCATAGTGGGGGATTCCCAATATTATGCTAAAAACGTTTTGTTTCCATTTATAGTTTAGTATTAGACGTGAAAAATTCTTTACTTTGATTTTGATGACGAAAGTAGAAAATTTTAATAAATTGAACAAAAACCATTGCGGTAAGGTTTTTCTTCTAATCTTCGATGGCCTTTACGCAATGTCATCTTTGGATATTAAAATTCAAATCCTAGATCGAGCCGCTCTTCATAACTACAAAATTAAAGGCGAAACAGAATCTTCCAGTGAATTGGCAGCTAAAAAATGTCCGCAAAAACTTTGTAGTGTTTGTTATTAGGCAATGACAAAGAATAAATTTTTTTATTTTTTTTTACAAATTATATGCAAGTACTTCAGATTATTTCGCAAAGTTTGAAGTAGTTTCAAAACATCAAATGAATTTTTTTTATTATTTAGTTTGTTTTCTATAAATTTTCATTTCTCCCTTTACATTATTGTATTAGGTCCGAAATCGACTTGCATTTGATCGTATATACAATGAAGTGTTTTACACGAACTCTTCGGAACTGGGTGTATTGTTAATCTTTTCTGACTGATAACATTGAACAAGCGTAACATCATTCAAAATTTTGATTATATAGAAAATGTTATAAAACATATTTTCAGATTTTA